AGAATATCAATGGATCTCTTTGTCCATTACATAGCGCTTCCACTTCAGTGATAGTCAAGTAGAAGAATGTGTCCACCGATGGTATGAGTCCTTCTTTGAACATTTGTTTAGCCAAATGCCAAAAACCTTCATTACATTTGTTGTTCATCCAAACCATTATATATTTTGATAGCTCTCGATATCCAATCCCTCTTCGAGTCCACGGAAGCAATACATGTTTTATCAGTAGTTTCTTGAATGGAGTCAATGGTGTCTTTAATCCATTCACCACTTCTTCAACAGATGTTTCAATTTTTGTCTCAAATTGTGTTTCATTTCCCGATAATATTGTCTATAATTACAAACAAATGAATTAATAACGAAAATAACAAATATAATTATCTATACTTTAATAGTTTTAATACAAGGCATTGGATTGCCTTTCCATGGCTTATACATGGGATCCAATTCCCGATACCCTCTGTGTCCGTGTCTTTCAATAAAGTATTGAAACTGTTGTGAGGACTCATCGGTTCCAGTGGTCAACTCTTGAAGCGCTTCCTCATCACTCAATTGTCGGAACCATTGCTTGTCTTTAATAGACTTTGCGATTTCACGCAAAATCTTTGGCACTTCAGCGCTGATTACATCCGTAGCCGAAGAGATCATTAGATTATAATCGGATTCAATATTATCGCTATTATCTAACAATATATAGCAAAAGCATAAATAGAAAATAATTATTGAATACAATTAATCACTTACTGGAAGCGCTCTCCAGAATAGACTTCAAAATCGCGTCATTAATTGCCGTATAAACAGAGATCGGGCCGTGATTTTTCAACGCCGTGTCTGATATGAAGTACTGATTGTCTAATATCTTATTAAATATATCTTTACTATTGGAGTACTGTTTCAAAATGTCTACCAAATCGTATGGATTTTTGTCAATTATCTCCTCTTTTGTTTTAATCAAGTTTTTCGGCCCAAAAAGTAATGAATTAATTATAAACGATAACATCGAGAATATTCCCGTAAGCGATGGCTTTGGGGCCTCCAATCCCTGCGTCCGGAATAACTGGAGGACATCCTTGTCGTCGATCTGATGGCCAAACATTGATAATACCATAGACTGTGCGTGTTTTGCCTCAGGATAACCAGCAAAAAAATTATAGTAACCCTGATCAAATCAATTTAAATATTAATTTTAATATAAATTTTAGAAAAATTTACCGAAATTTCATACATTACTCAAATTGAACATCACTTGATTGTACTGAATGCCCATATTTTCAAAGAATGGATTGCAATCGTCCATAACTTTGCCACCAATTTTGAGTCCCTGACGCTATAAATATCTAAATATTAGTATTGTTTCATCGTCGTTACATTAAATGTTTATTTTACAAAGAAATAGCTTTTATTGGCCCAAAACCATTGCAAACAAATCCATGATGATGAGCCGGGAAATATTTCACCCCAATGGGCGCGGGAATAGATCTCAGTCTCTGTCGGATGCGATGAATCCAATTCATGCATAATCTCGTAATCGGTGTAAGAATTGTCTAAATTAGTTACGGGTCTCGACTGAAGCATAAATATTTGGCCCCCTTTT